GCCCTTTTGCACCCAGTGGCAGGGGACCTATTACCCTGTCTGTCTCTCTCAGCCGACCGCACACTCCACACTCCCAGGGGCGGGATTACACCTGACTCCTGACTACCTCCCAAGCACTAAGTAGGTGCTCCATAAATGTGTTAAGGGGCCTGAGTTGTTCTGGGAAGCAGAGCTCAGTGGTGGCCGGGAAGGATGCCCCATGGGTTTGGACAGAGGTACCTGCTATGGCAGGGTAGAAGTCCTTGAAGTCCACCTGCTCGTGGGCCCCCTCGCAGCCAGCCAGACAGCGGGCAAAGATAGCCAGGTACTCGGCCAGGGCCCGCTCCATGTCCTCTGTGCTGCTGCGGAAATCCCCGCTATTGTAGAGCTTCACCGCCCGGAGGAACACGGCCTGGAGCGGAGCGTGGTGGGGGATCAGGGAAACCCCCACCACGCTCCCCTCCTCCACAAGTCCTTTGGGGGGATTAGGGAGGAGCTTTAGGGACAGCCCTTCCCCGCCACCCCACCTCATAGGGCTGCGCCTCCAAGTCGGTGAGTGGCTCCTCGGCCGCATCCAGCAGCCCCCGGTAGTAGTTGAGATACTTGGTGGTTAGCTCGTGCTTGGGGTTCTTCTGGAGGAAGGTGTAGGCCGCGGCCAAGGCCTTCTCCAGCCGGTTAGCCTGCGGGGTGGGGACAGAGTGGGTCAGTAGGGCCAGGGCCCGCTGCTCTGAGCGCACAAGAGGGCTTGGGGATCAATGACAGCAATCGCTCCTCCGTAACCGGCCAGAAACCCGACGCCGCTGGGAGCGACGAGCCCCGCAGGGCCCGGGGGCGGGAGCGCACCTTGAACTGCGCGTAGTGCAGGTACTGGTAAGGCAGTCGGCTCTGGAAGTCGCGCAGCAGCTGGCGCGGCGGGTAGGGTACCTGGAAGGCGGGCAGCGTCCTCTTGCAGCGCCGCAAGCAGGCGGCGCGCTCCAGGACGTGGCCGAAGAGCTGCAGCTCACGGGCCCACTCGTCGCCCTGCCCGCCGTCGTGGCCGGGCGTGGGCCCGAGGGCCGAAGCGGC